TCTTGGCCCTCTGCAGTTTTCAAAGTTTTAACACCAATTTGGCTGTCATCTCTAACAGAAACAGTATCAGATGTCTTTTTTGAAAGATTACTAATAGGCACATGAATAACTGTTTCAGCTTCTGATAATGTTGATACTGAACTATCAATACTGACATGTCTTTCCAGCTTTACTTCCAAAGAGAGATTTCCTATATCTGAGATAAGCTGCTCCTCTACTCTATCAGGTTCATCTATTTTGTCTAACTGTTCTTCCATCTCTATTTCATTTTCTGCTACTGAAGCTTTCTCATCACTTTCAACATTATAAGTAGACAACTGCTCTTCTAAATCAGCTTCTAGTTCATGATCCACCATTTCAAAACTGCTGCCTGATGAACTGCTACTAGACACAGAAATTTTCCTTGTAATCTCTCTAAGGTTAAGCTCATCATTTTTTGTGGTATCCTCCTCAATATTCATTTCACTGGCCAGATTTTCTTGCTCTGACATCTCCATGTTTTCAAATTCGGAGTTTTTAGTAAATAGCACCGATTCATCGGTAGATTTGTTTAGTGACTGGCTGTTATTCAGCCCTACAGAAAATTCTTGGAAATAATTCAACTCATTATCTCGGCACATGACAAATCCCTCAGTCTCAACACTGCACTCCTCACATTTATCAGTTATTATTTCAGTCATTCTTGCTATTTCTGAAGTTTCTTCTCCTACTTCCACTGATACAAGGTTAATACTAATAGATGGACTTGAGGGGCTTTGAATAGTCGTTTCAAAAAGTTCCATTTCCTCTCGAACACTGGTGCTGTATTGAGGTTCTATGAAAGAGTGATCAACTTCCAATTCTGTAAAGGTTGATTTTTTCAACTCTTTGTCAACACCTGTGAAATAATTTTCTTCTTTAGGCCCTCCTATCTCTGAAAGTATCTCCTCATATCTTTTTTCTTTAGAAATATCTGCCTCATAAGTTTGACATGAGCATACTGCACTACTAAGTGGTCCTATATAATCTTCTCTAGTCAAATTTGTGCAGATCATTTTGGTCATGGATTCTACATTTTCTTCTTCTGGAAACTGTTTTGATACAACTACTTCTACAACTGTCTCACTTATTTCTTCCACTGGTGACTCACATGAAATTTTCCCTTCATTAATTGCTTTGAGTAAAATATTGGATTCCTCTTTGCACTGTGATACAAACATTATCTCAGGAACTTCTTCCTTATGTTCTTGTGTTGTAAACTGATGACAAACCGTTTCAGGCAATGCTGCTTCAACCTTATTTTCTCTCTCACTAACAATCACCCCAGAAGGTTGTGTAGACCCTACTGATATTAATTCAAAGTCAATTACCTGCCTTTCTGTCTCTGTCTTTTCAATATTTTGTTGCTGCTTATTAACTTCATGGTGACCTACTTTAAATTCTGGCACATCAGCTTCTGAATATTCAAGGAAACTCTCCTCATGAGTACTCTCTTTCCCAGTGATCCTCTCTACACATCCTTCCAGTGCCTGAATAACAGCATGTTCATATATAGTAGCAGCAGATATTCTAATTTTTGAGGGCTCCTGTAAATCGTCACTTTCATCTGAAGATGATGAGTCTATTTCTGTAACTTCTGCTCTTGCATCATCATACATTCCCAAATCTACTTCACTGGTGAAGACTTCATCTTTGTCTGTTTCAATGCTACTGGCACTGACAAGGCTAAATCTAAGAACATCCTGCTCTTGTGCTTCGCTAAGATCCTCTGAGTGTACTGGCTTATCACCTGCAACATGACAGGGTTCACTTAAATCTGCAGGCATAGGGACATCATCCCAGTCTCCTGATATGGCACCACGAGTTTCAGATCCAAAGTCGATGGAGCCTTCTGATGAGGACCCTCTATTGCTTCCTGATCTACATGAGGAACTACTTTCTGAAATTTCTTCATCTCCTACACGTGGGGTTAAACCTTTTCTGCACAGTGCTTTTCCAAGGCTCTCTGCTGTTATAACTGAGGTCCCTTTTGTCTTCCTGGGTCTTGATTCAAGATTAGGATAAATATCCACTGGCAATGATTTCTGCAGTAATGGCTGTTCTGTTTTCTTGGATATCCCATAAATAATTTCACCATCAGTTTCTCCATAAAACTTAGCAAATCTTTTCCTTTTTTTTATACCAATATCAAAATTGGCTGAATCACTACCCAAATTTCCTTCCTCTCCTATCTCTCTCAAACTCACATCTTCTGTCTCTAGCTTACACACATCATCAAAGCTTTCATGATTACTCATTTCTGTGTCAGACAACTCAGGGCCTATACCAAAGCTAGATATGTCATCATCATCTTCATTTTGGGAAACATTGCTCAATGTATCTTCAAAATCCACAGATTTGACCTGTAACATGTACAATACAGATAATTCATACAGATGAAACTTACAATGCAGATGTGTGAATACACATATATTCTAAAGTAAGTCATGTAGGAACACACTCACACACACAAAAAAGTAAT